TTTTCCAGCAGGATTTGGCACCTGCCCACACTGCCAAAAGTACCAAAAGTTGGTTGAATGACCATGGTGTTGGTGTGCTTGACTGGCCAGCAAACTCACCAGCCCTGAACCCCATAGAGAATCTATGGTGTATTGTCAAGAGGAAAATGAGAAACAAGAGACCAACAAATGCAGATGAGCTGAAGGCCACTGTCAAAGAAACCTGGCTTCCATACCACCTCAGCAGTGCCACAAACTGATCACCTCCATGCCACGCCGAATTGAGGCAGTAATTAAAGCAAAAGGAGCACCTGCCAAGTATTGAGTACATGTACAGTAAATGAACAGAAGGCCAAGAATTCACTAAAAATGTTTTTTTTTATTGGTCTTATGAAGTATTCTAATTTGTTGAGATAGTGAATTGGTGGGTTTCTGTTAAATGTGAGCCAAAATCATCACAATTAAAAGAACCAAAGACTTAAACTACTTCAGTCTGTGTGCATTGAATTTATTTAATACACGAGTTTCACAATTTGAGTTGAATTACTGAAATAAATGAACTTTTCCATGACATTCTAATTTATTGAGATGCACCTGTAAAAACACACACCTACAGTATATACTTTGAAAATATTTACATGTATTTACATGTATATATTTATATTCATGTAATTTATGTTATATATAAATATATTTATTATATAAACATAACATATTTTTCTTAAATATATACAAGCATGTGTTTGTATTTATATATACATAATAAATATACACAGTACACACACATATATTATGTGAACAAAAACCTTTATTTTGGATGCGATTAATCACGATTAATCGTTTGACAGCACTACTAGCAAGACAACAAGGAAACCTCTGAGCATCAATATGAATGCAGTACAAGTAAGATAAGGAAAGTGTTACGTAATATCCATGAAGTAGTCAAATGTTTTTGGATGGTTTAATCAATGTGCATTCTGGAAAGATTTGTTTGAATGTTCTAAGTCAGCTCTTCTGATTTAGATCACTAAGTAAATAAATAGTCACTTAGTGGACACTTTTAGGCATCATGAAGCATTTTCGTTTTCAGTACGGACAGAAAAAGATGTTAGGACCTGCTTAGGACTTTAGCTGGTCGTTGTGCTCTAACCAACACAGTGGTTTGTATGGTTAGTTTTAGAAATTTGCCACTATTTGTTAGCTGCTGTAACTACAACGTTACATGGGAAAAAAGCTTTTTAAAATAATTAAAAGCCATTCAAAAGATCTTCTAAACAGAATATCTAAACATGCTTAACATAAAATGAATTTACTTGTGCAGATGATTTCAGAGAACATATCCTGAATACCATTTATATTTTATCTCACTATTGGTAAAAAAATTTAATGTTTTAAGCACAAACCTTAAATACAGTTATAGATTCACGCTATATATTAATATATATATATATATATATATATATATATATGAAAAAAGAAAATTATTATAAATAATATTAATTAATAAATCAATGAATTTAAGATAAATACATTTAATTTAAGATATATGCTCTGGAAATATTTTTTATATCATGTAAATCATCATTTTGTGTTAAGCCTGTTAAATAAGACAAACTGCTGATTAATAAAATTCATTTTTACATTGTAAATAGAAGAAAAGTCATTATATAATAGTACGTTTTTCATTAGTGCCACATTGCAACTTCCTTGCTACTGCTATGCAGGCTAATGGAGATCTCTAGAGGGATATCAGACCTTTTTGGTGGAGACAGAATGAATGAATCAATGAACACTTCAAAGCAGCCAAAAACATATTAAAACGGCGCTGTCTGGGAAAGACACAAAAGGCCAATCCAGCCGGTTGAGCTCTCTGAGGCCATCTTACTCTGGTTGGGCTAGATTTTTAAGTTTTTCCATCCAATTAGGGTTACTCAAACAAGAAACGACTAGACGTTTCTCTGCAGGCTATTTATACACACCCTGCATGACCCATAATAAATGACCAGCATCACTTTCACCCGATGTTTGACTGATATCAGCAGTCTGCATGCAGACAAACACCATCACATGGAGAAATTACTCATTTCCAACCAGTCATGCACTAGCCTGAAATTAACTGAAGCAATCCGAATGTTGACATTTCGAAACCGTCGCCCATGTTCTCTTATCGTTGTGCAAAACTCACAGTGCAAAACAAGTTAGAGCCTGGCTTGTTCTGAGAGTTTTGAAGAAATCACTTCCCCAGACTGCAAACAAAGTTAGGCAAAGCTGCGTTAACTTAGTGTACTTTCTGACTTCCACTGGCCACAAATGCTTCAGGTGAAGACACTGAAACATTACCCACAGGTGAAAAAGTGCTCACTTCTCATATTTTGGCTTGGTGTAAATGTGTCTTCGTTCAACAAACCGGTCCAACAGCAAGCTAGTATTGTCAGATGAGAAATAGCTGGACAAAATGTGTTATACTCAAATATATCGCAATACTAATAGCTGACAGCCAGCAGTTATCAGACAATCCCTTATCGGTATTTATTGGAGTTGCTGCCTAAGCAGCATTTCTATGCAAGATATTGAAAATGATAGCTTAATTACTTGAGCAACCTCAGAAAAAAATGTCCACACATTTGGACACACTTTAAGTAAATTAGATTATTAAAATGCATACTGTCTTTCTCTGCTTACTGAGATCCAGCCATTTTGACCTGGGATGGTCAAAGGACAGAGCTAATGTTCAAAGTAAGTAAGTTCACACAGCATGTAAAGATCTGCAGAGCTTACACTCACCAGGAACATATGCAAATTATTATACACAAATTTACATGCTGAGTTTATAACATGGCCAGTGCGTGTCTGGAGAGGAGGTTTATTTATTTAACTGCGTTTCTGTCACGCTTCTCTGAATTTACATACTAGTTAAATTTCACAATAACCTTTTAGTTAGAAACTTTACTAATAACCGATGACATTATATAATTAATTAGTTAATCAATTAAATGCAAAATCAAATATCTATAAATGGCATCAAACTCAGATTCATATATTAATGTTAAAGGTAAGCATTATATAATGTTATCGACTTGTTAATAAGGGTTTTACATTTATAAAAAGCAAAGAGTGGGGAAATAGAAAAAAAGAAAAGCTTATATAACAGGAGCACAGTAATCTGCACCTGTTGGTTGGTAATAAGTAACTTATGAATAAGTGCCTCTTACAATAAACCGTCTTTGAACCCTGTATAATTTCCAGCTGTGGGAAAAAAGCACTATTTTGGCAGTTTAGTCCGGAGGTACTATTATGTATACAGAATGATTAACAAAATAAATATTACAACTGAAATAAGTATACAGTTTATTTACACTAGAGAGTGAATGAATGTTGTCATTAGCATATTAAATACACAAATAAACAAGTTGAAATAATGTGCATTTACCTGTATAGTGATACAATTATTCCATAAGACTGTACATATAGATTCCAAGCTCAAATACACGTCTGCGTCCTTTTGGATTGTAGGTGTGCAGCTCAAACTTTAAAGAAAGGAGGGCGGGTCGCAAATGTACGAATCCTACTATGGCGGCTGCCTATCTCATGAATATTAATTTTACGTTCTCTGATAACGTTACGGGAGGAGTGTCCGCTCTTATTTAATATTCATAGACTTCGGCAGAGCCTGATTCTTTTATTTGATAACTTTTTTGCCTTTCGTCCAATCATCAGGCAGCTTGGCGAACGTCACGGTACGTAATTAATATTCATGAGCCAGGCCTGGAAGGGCGATTCCTGTCAGCAGCGCGAGCAGTGGCGGTCTCGAGGTGTTGCGCGCGGTCACTCCTCCTCTCATAAACGTGCTCAGCCTTCAACCGGAAAAACCAGTTAAACTGAATGGAAGGAGAAAGACACGGGGTGTGTAGAAAATACTGTATGAGATGGGAGACACACAGATATAGGTACATGTTCCATGATAAACTCTTAAATGACGATGCGTGGGATCTAATTAAGTTGGCGTGAATATTTGTTAAAGGGATAGTTCACCCAAAAATGAAAATTCTGTCATTAATTACTCACCCTCATGTCGTTCCAAACCCATTCGTTCATCTTCAGAACACAAATTAGGATATTTTTGATAAATTCCGAGAGCTCTCTGACCCTCCATAGACAGCAAGGGAACTACCACGGTCAAGGCACAGAAACGTATAAAGGACATTGTTAAAATGGTCCATGTGACATCAGTAGTTCAACCATAATTTTAAGAAGCTACGAGATTATTTTTGTGCGCAAAGAAAACAAAAAAGAACGACTTTATTCAACGTACTCATTTGGGACAGTCTGCCGCCATTATCAAGAGTATGGCGCATACTTGTGCATTCCTCTGCTTGGAAACAAGGCACAGCACATGCGTTTTTTTACAGGCAGGAAAAGCATGCACATGCATCGTGATACTCTCCAAAATGGCGGCGCTGAGGAGAATTGTTGAGTAAATTCGTTATTTTTGTATAACTATCCCTTTAAGGCTGTTAAAGCTGTTTTAAATAGCAAAACAGTACTTTGTCAGCGAACATCATCGTTGGTCTTTACAAACTTTTAATTTCTAGCTAAATGCTTTTTGTTTTTGTCTTTTTTAAATACTGTTTTACTGATTTAGGATGAAATATGGCATGCCATTTGTCCATATTTTATTGACCGTAGAGTATAATTTATCTATCTATCTATCTATCTATCTATCTATCTATCTATCTATCTATCTATCTATCTGTTTTGTGAATCATAAGCAAAGGACATCAAAAGTATTGTTTATTTTGTTGTTGCTAATTTAACCATGCGTTTAGGGTTGTCTTAAGACTTAATGTACATTTGGTGTGACATAACATACAGTTAGACTTTGGTCAAATGTCAACTTTTTACAGGTTAGTTAGTGGTATAATACCTAACTAGTAGAATGAGCACTTTTTTTTAAATGTTAGCACTTTTACTTTGTTCAAACAAAATTTATAACAGCGCCAATTAGATTTATATGATTAATATGCAATTCAGTCTGATTTAATATTATATATAATCTAAAATGAATTCAAGTTTATAGTGAATTTTCAATATATTTATGCCTCCACTGCAGCTGTGTACAGATAATTTTTTTTCCCCCTTGACAGAAGTCTATAAGAAATGAAATAACGAGTCAGGAACATAAACAGGAAACACAAACGACTAGTGGACTAAATAAAGATAGATTTCAGAAAATCCATAGAGTAGATGGGTCAGATAAATAGTGCTATCATATCGACATGTAGATTCATGATAGAGCCATGATCAATAGAGCCATGCATGTGAGTTAATAATTGCTGTTAGTGACCATGAGTTGGTGTCTAAGTATCTTTGATATATTGTTGTAGTTTTTTAGTTAATATTTTTACATTTTTCATTTCCAACTATATATATATATATATATATATATATATATATATATATCACACATATATATAGTCATTTATGGGACTAATTCACCCAAAAATACAATTCTGTCATCATGTACTCATGCTGTTCCAAACTTTCTTTTTTGCATGGAATACAAAAAGTACTATTTCATAAGCA